TAACCTTTTGACTGTTTGTCATAGCCAACAAAGACATGCTTCTCGCTTCGATCATCAAGTTTGGATCGCTTTTGGCTTGGTACGTGGGCATATGCTATACTCCCAAATACTCGTAGGTGATTTACTGTGGGCTTTGTCCCATTCCATGCTTCTTGTGGAGTCTTGTCTTCTAGACTCTTCGTGGGACATCGATTTAGTAGGTATACTGCACAATCAACTGCTTCAGCCAAAAACTCCTTTGGCATCTTCTTGCTCTTTAGCATGCTACGAACCATATTGAGAATGGTTCTATTCTTCCTTTCAGCAACTCCGTTTTGTTGCGGAGAGTAAGGAGCGGTAAGGAATCGTCTAATCCCATATTCTTCACAGAATTTGGTGAATTCACTTGCTGTGAATTCTCCACCTCTATCAGACTTTAAGGCTTTGATTTTCAAGCCTTTCTCCTTCTCCACCACAGCCTTAAATGTCTTAAAGGCATCAAAGGCTTATGATTTCTCCTTCAAAAAGTACACCCAAGTCTTTCGAGAGAAATCATCAATAAATAGAATGAAGTAGGTTTTCTTACCATGGGATGGCGGAGAGATAGGACCACAGAAGTCTGTATGGATGAGTTCTAAAGGCTCCTTAGCTCTTGATGTTGCTTCTTTTGGGAAAGCACTCCTCGAATGCTTCCCAAGTAAGCATCCTTCACATACTTGATTGGGCTGATTGATAGGAGGTATTCCTTTCACCTTGCATTTGGCAGATAACATTTTCATACCTCATGTGCCAAATCCACGAATCATCCTTCAAGCAGGCTTTCATGCAGTTCTCATGTTGAATGTTCAACAAGAACATTCTATTGCTTGTTATTGGCACAATGGTAATCAATTTTTCTTCTGGATCCTTAACTATGGCACTACGATCTTTCAAATGAATATCGTAATTTTTCTCCAGAAGTTGTCCCAAGCTTAAGATATTACTCTTAAGACTTGGAACATAATAAACTTCTGAGATGTATTGGTGACTTCCATCTTTAGCAAGGATTAGTATCTTACCTTTGCCTTTAACCCTTGCTCTAGAATCATCTCCAAACATCACGTACCCTTTGGTTGGTTCCATGTCTACGAACAACCTTTTTTCCCCAGTCATGTGGTTACTCGCAGTGGAGTCAAGATACCACGTCTTCTTCTCTCCTTCGTCCTTGTGTCTTGCCATTAAGAGAGTGAGTTGAACTTCATCTTTAACCTCCATAAGATTGGCTTTCTCTTTTACTTGACTAGAATTCCTACACTCACTTGCATAGTGACCATATTCTTGGCAATTAAAGCATTGGATTCGAGATTTACCTCCTTTCTGAAACTTCATACCTCTTCCACGAACTCTTGTAGATTGAGAGCCTTGGTTGTTGTCCTCTTTGGTGGATTGAACATAGCCTCCTCGAGCACTTCCTCGTCCACGTCCTTGAAAACCACCATTGCCTCGTCCAAGGCCTCTGCCACGTCCAAAGCCTCCATCTCTTTCTTTGAAAGAGAGTTTTGTGTAGAGCGCTTGCTCCAAAGATTCTTTGGGCCTCCTTTTCTTTAGTTTCTCTTCATGGGCTACTAAAGTACCCATGAGTTGATCAATGGTCATAGAGTCAAGATCTTTTTGACTCTTCTATCGCTACCACAATATAATCAAAGCTTGGTGTCAAAGAGCGAAGAATTTTTTCTATCACTCTTGTGTCAGTCAAGCTTTCTCCATTCCTCTTCATCTCATTTGACACTTTCAAGACACGAGAACAATAATCCGAAACAGATTCAGACTCCTCCATTTGTAAATCTTCAAATTCTCCTCTAAGAGTTTGAAGACGTACCTTTTTCACCTTCTCAATACCTCTATTAGCATTCTCTAGAATATCCTAAGCCTCCTTTGATGTAGAAGCGTTTGCCACCTTCTCGAACATGGAATCATCTAGACATTGATGGATAAGTGAAAGAGCTTGTTGATCCTTTCTCCTTGCTTTGTTGAGTTCCCCCCTTTGGGCAGGAGTCAAAGAAGCCTCATCTAGAGGTTTCTCATAACCTTTCTCAACAATCTCCCAAACCTCGTGAGATCCTAAGATCGCCTTCATTCGAATGGACCACTTATCATAGTTTTCTTTGGTAAGTTGAGGGAATTGGAAAGAGATCATTCCATTTGCCATCTTACTTCAAAGCTGGACCAACACCAGCTCTGATACCAGTTTGTTAGCAAAAGAACCCTTTGGGTTATAAGAAATACACCTTTTAGGTGATGGGTGAATGAATTGGAAATGGAAGAGAAGAAAATTTTGGGAGAAATGGAGCTTTACTACTTTGTAGTAAAAGGAAACAAGGTGGAGTGTGTTAAGCTTTTTGCTTAAGGTTTCTCACAACTCTCTACACACACTTACATTAGGGGGTTAACTCCTATTTATAGGAGTGCATGGAAGGTTCTACACTCTTTCAAGATTTTTCTACTCCTTCTAAATATCTACATATTTTATTCAAATATCTAGACTTTTCCTTACTAATATCTAGATATTTCTTCTAGATATTTTCCATGAATTATTCTACATACTCTTGATATTTATGTAGAACATTTTTAGAACTTTCTACTTCTAGATATCTTCTTATCTAGACAATTCTTCATTGGACTTAGGCTTAGGATTAAACATAAAGATTCATGGTCCAAGTTAATAATTTGGATAACCCAATATTAATTGGACCAAATTGAGTTTACTTACTAACAACAAGACGGGTCACCTCAAATGTCCAGAATGAACCCAAGAACATATCCTAAATATATCTTCACAGCCAGTTACAACGACAAAGAAGATGATCAAAACCCACGTTATGAACGACCTTAATAACGATGACCAAAAAAAGGTACACCAACATTCACACAGAGAAACACACACAAATACAAAGATTCCTGAGTGGTTAATCATAACCGAAAGGGCTGTTAGTTTTAATACAATCTGAAATCATTGGGTAAATAGAGAGAACAACATCTACCATCTCAAGAAATTCCCAATTTTTGTTCTCTCTGTAATCCTTATTTCTGGAGAAAAAAAGGTGATGATTTAAGTCTAGGGTGATGGCGGTCGCGTGGGAGGAGGAGGGCGGAGTATCTTTCTTTCTTTTTAATTTTTTTTTAAAAATTTTATTTTGGGTCAAAGACTAGTGGGACCCACTATCAGTAGGAAATTAATTTAAAAACAGATATTTACCGAAAGATGACTACTGCCGTTAATTTTGTCAAGACTCAGTTAAACTGGTTAAAATTAGTGAAAAAAAACTTTTTAGGTGAGTGATTTTGTTAAGTGACAATTTATGGTGAATTGGTCTCGCTATGCCCCAAACTTTAGGGACCAAAAGGGAGTTTGGTCCAGTTGCAAAACTTTTGCAACTCTTATCTAGTGATATATTTTTTTTTTGGCCATTTAGAGCATGGAATCGTACAACTCACACACAAATTTCAAGACATTGATGTAATTGTGAAAGTTTTTTATTACCAAATTAAGTTGGTGTGCTCGCAATTATGTATGGAGAAAAGCAAAACAACATTATTACAAACTTGTGGGGATACTAGTGTTGAGTTGTGAGGAAAAAAAAATAGAGGAAGAAAATAGATAAAAAGTAGAGGGAGGAAGATAGCCTCTGATTCCCAAGGGTAACTTTGAAAGAAAGAGATATTTTGTCTTGGAGGCTAGAAATTATTTTGGCAAAATCATTAGGCAAATTTTAAGCTTTGACTCACAAAAAAATATTTTTAAATTTTTGCAACAATTCTATAACATGATATTAGGAGTCCTCTATACGAATGATATCCTCAAAATTTATAACTAGTTTTCGAAAACAAAAATTAAAGCTTCAATAAGCTTTAAACAAAACAGTGCTCTTGTTTTCGAACAAGTTTATAACTTATTAAAAAAGAAAGGCATTATTTGATAACTAAGAAAAAGGCATTCTTAGATTTTAGCATGACATTATAATAATTATCTATCTATGCTGCAAAAGTAGAACTTATAGCTTGGAACATTTTGTATCAAAGTGAAAGAATAATAGAGATAAGTATGTTTTGCATAAGATTTAAGTTATTGGCCTATCGATTTTATCTATAGAAAGGATCAATTATCTATATCTCTACAAAAAAGAAAAAGAAAATTCTTTATTTTTTTCTTTTGGAACGAAGGCTGTGTGGGCCGGGTATCGAAGAATTTATGTAGGATGGTTTTATAGTTAATTATTTTAGAGATTATTTTTAATCGATAATATTATAAAACAGCAAGATGCGCATAAAAAGAATCATAGAACATACACTTTTCATTAATTTGTGATTGATGAATTGTTTTTACATTAATAATGATAGAACTTTTGTTTGAATAATGAACTATGTTATCCATTCATCACTCAAAATTAGGTGGTCCCCAACGACAAAGTCAAAACTTTTCAATTATATGAGCTATACAAAAAATTATTTTGTGGAGGTGAAATACAAAATAAATAAAGAAAATTAAATCCCCTTTTAATTCTAAAACCAAGGCTTGTCATCACCGATCTTGCAATCTTAATAAAATTTATTTTTTGCGCTCCATAAGAAAACTAGATCGATTTCAAAGAAAAAAAAATGTCACCTTTTAAGATACCGATACCAATGCTCGTCACTTTGATTTCGTCACTGATCCCCAAAACCTCAACAAAATCTCTCCATTTTTTTCTTAAGAAAATTTTATTGATAGTCCAAAGCAAAAGATAAAAAGCATTACAAAAATAAACCAACAATCTAATTAAACTACTAAAGAAACAAAAGAAAAACAACAAGTCATGAACAAAATTTTTGCCTCATCACAAATCTAGTCCTCATTAGAAAATGACCCCATACACCTAAGTATATTGGGTTTCTGCTAGAATAAGAAGGGCAAAGTTACAATAGAAGCATGCGAACAAAAGCAATAAAGTTCAATAGAACAGTGGTATCAAAAGATTCAAATCAATCTCCTGAACCAATCCCCTTTAGTTACCACCAAATGGATTGACATTCTCGGCAGCATTACTGAAAGTACGACTATTAACGTTGTTAAGATCCATAGAGCGTGAATTTATCTCCTTACGAATATCTTTCTTGAGACCTTCCAACATCTTAGCAAATGTCATAAGCTGCTCCATGTCAAGCTCTTCAATGGGCTTCCTCCACCACTGATCCTTTCTTGACTCCTCCTTCTCTGCTTTCTCCAACGCTTCTGCAAGTTTATTTTCCTCTTCCAATTGCTTTTCAAGTTTTATTAACTCTTGGTTCAACTCATGAAGCCGTCCATCAGTGTGAGCCGGAATGATACAGTGTGTGGTGTCATTCACAGTTGTTGAACCTGCCATCGGTAAGTCGTATCTGCTGGTCCTTCTTGCCATGATTAAGCCCTGGACTGGTTAAAGGTTTTGTTCACAAAGGATAGAAGAAAATACTATTTGAGAAATATCTGTGAAATGTATGATTTTGATTCATTGCATATGAAAGAATTTATAAAAAACTTAGTGCATGATTGCATTTTCTTGGGCCTGATCAGTTTGGGTAGAAAATCTAGTAGATAATGCTAGTTACTATCTATCTTAATAATACATACCTACCATAATTACAATCATATTTTAGTAGTAAGATTATGTATTCACTATATTTTCCCATCTCTCTCTCTCTCTCTCTCTATATGTTTGAATATTATTTTTTTTTTTATTTTATCAATTTATACTTTACGTCAAATTATAAACTATATATACTTAAATTAGTAAAATTTGAAGATAAATGGTAAAAAATGAGCAATAAATATGTATGTAACATTGGTTTTCGAAAAGCTTTAAGCAAAACTCTAACAAAAAATAGACCTTTTTTGTGAAATATACCTACTCGGGTGAATAAAGTGCATGTAAACTGGTTCGACACATTCGTATTAAATTTGCCTAATAATGCAAAAATTGTAGGTTAATCGATTTACGATTTACACAATTTGAAAATATTGATTTAAAATAACTAAAATGAACTGAAAGATACTTTTGATATTTTTAATTGAATTAAAAGTAAATTAGTTTATTTATGTGGAATGATACTTTTGCATAAAATAGTGACAACCAATGCCCGCTCAGCATATATGAACAATTAATTAAATGTTTATATCATATTGTAACTGTCCATGTCTTGCTACTAATAAGGAATAAGCTCCTTAAAACTGTTATATTTTTAATTTGAAGATTTGTATTAGTCAGTAATTATATACGCTTTACTAAACAATGTAATTGGAGTTACTAATATTTGATATTGATTCAAATGTAACACAAAAAAATTTCCTTAATCTTTCTACATTAATATTGGATTACTAAAATCATGAGATACACGTCTTATTATATAATATGCTCAAATTTCACTACATAATCTTTCTACTTTACAAATTTTCGATATTACTACATACACGTCATATTATGCAGTAGGTTGAATTTGACTGTACACCTAGAAAACAAGGAAACAAAAATCTAATGGAAGATTATGTTTTTGTAATAATAGTTACTGAGTGAATTTTTAAAATAAGATCGAAGACGACTTGTGTATCGCTATAAGCGATACACGTCCACTTAGCAAATGAACTAACATGTATATCCTTCTTCTAGCTAAATGCAAATTGAAAAATCATTTGTAGCAGGACATAATCGATACAAGAAACACTGTTTGTTATAAGAGCCATATGATAATAGCTCAAGACACACCAACTCGAGTTAGGCGATCCAAACTGGCGATTATAATAGCGCTTCTATGAATGGCCCTCCTATTTTTGTTTTTGTCTTAGATTTGAAATGTTAGTAAAAGCATGCTTATAAAGAAATTTGACTATTGTATACTTATTTTATTTTAAATTAAAATAACTTCTCACTGATAAGTCTGTCATATCCAATTTCTTTGCTAGACACACTAGCCAGAAATTGGCCAGAATCAGACCGCCTCGTCATGCAGCTGATGATGGTCCGATGGCAGTGGTGGCAATCTGGTGGTGGTGAGTAGTGGTGGTTAAAGTTGAGTAAAATAACTTTTGAGATGAATTTTAGAATGTGAAATGAAAAGTTTTATGGATTGTGCATTTTATGTCGATGTTTGGATTTAAGAAATAAGCTAAAATTATTTTTGAGTTTAGATGGCTGGTAATAGAAGCCCATTGTTGTCCTACTAATATAACAGAAAAACTGAAAAAGGGAAAGGAAACGAGTCTCAGCTGAACTTAAACATGCCTCCCATTTCTAGGAAAACAAAAATAATGGCACTATTTACAAATATTAAGGAAATTCCTTATACATAGTGGAGTTTTCAAGTTTTTCATTGTTCAACAGAGGGGTTGAAGAACAAGAGTAATTGAGAAAAGAAAAGGGGTAAGGGTAAGAGAAATATGATGAATAAGGTTTGTAAAACCTGTCTTTTCAAGAGAAAGTGAAAAGTGATTCAACCAAACCGTAGATTGGTAAGGAGTATAAAGTGAGTTTTAAGTATAACGATTTTCGAGCTCTGGAAAATAGGTCGAACAATTGGGAGTAGTAACGCAAAAATGAATGGATCTTAGACCTGAAAAACGTAGTTGCAATCTAAAGTAGTTTTTGGCGGTCAATAAAATCAACCACCAAAATAGCCATAAAAATATATCATGTAATCTTAGGTGGTTCAAATTGCCACATGTATTAGAAAATCTCAAAAAAACTTTGTAATTTATATAGACGTGATATTTTTTTTGATATATAAGTTGTCATATGATACATGGTAGTACTCATTTTAGTAAGCTAGAAGTTTCCTTTTAGGAGGAGGAATGGGGTTTGTTGGTGTAGCAATGTACCAGTAGAAACTAAGTGAAACAACTATGGAACTAATTACAGGTAAGATCATTGTCAAACATTCAACATGAGAAGAAATTTGAATTTAAACTGTTGACTTCTCTAAGTGATCACGGGTTCATCCCAGTAAAGGGATATGGTTGATTTCCCGGTGGCATCATAAAATAACCGGTGCAGCCAACTTTGTCATGCATGTGTTTGATCATCTGCTTCAATCTCTGGAAGTCATTTTACATGTAGGTGAGTATGTACGACTTCTGTTTGTTGAAATCTCGGGTTCCATGGGATGTAAGAGGGACAGGTTCCTAAACAACTTTGGGAGGAGGATTTTTGGATAGGGCAGTCAAACTGAAGGGATTTGGAATGCTTTCATGTAAGTAAGTGAGGGTGAAAAGAACATCAGCCTTGGCATAGAGCATGGTTATCAACACTGGAAAGTACCAAATTCTCACTATTGAATCTATGGAGCCAAGCCAACTAGAGTGGAGGTTGTAATGGCATAGATTAATAGAGCTTTATCATAGGTCACCCTCTGACTGTAATTTGTAGACTTGATGTTGGTGGTGATGAATTTGAGCCACATTTTGTTTTCCTAGTGCAGTTTTGACATTGGGAAGGAATGAGGAGCACCATCTCGACCCAAAGTCCATTTAACAAATTCCCCATCCTCACACAAGGCAAACAACATCTTTTTTGCAAGATTCTTATTAAGATTAATTTCTCTACTTATTTCTCATAGTCAGTTTCCATTATTCTCATACCTAAATCAACACGAATGGCCACTGGACTGATATCAACATTTTGGCTTCCAAACAAAACATCTCCCACAGCCAAAACTAAATTACTGTAGAATTCTATCACCACATTCATCCTAGATTGCCTTGTGGGTTTATAGAGTTTGGTCCATCCATAGTTCTTACTTAGAGATTCTCACACAAGGCAAATAACACCATCTCTGCAAGATCGTCATTGAGATGCAATTTCTCCACTTCTTTCTCATAGTTAGTTTCCACTATTCTCACACCTAAAATAACTCAAATGGTTGCAGCACTGATATCAACATTTCGGCCTCTAACAGACACAACATCCGCCTTAGCAAACAAAATTACTATAGAGTTCTATTACCACATTCATCTAGGAGGAATTTTCAAATTGGAGATTTTGTCCAGCCATACTTAGAGATGTAGATGGCTGAATTATCCTCTATGTCAATTTTCCTTTCCACAATCACAGTGATTGGCCTTGAAAAATTCCTAGGCTTCCTCATAAACTTAAATCATAGGGTCCTGGTCACTTAGAAAATCCTCTCTTACCACTTCACGTTGTGCCCTATCAGGTTGTCTGGGTAGTGGTGGTGGATCTTGTTGAACATTGATGTTGAGATGTTTATTGTTCGGTTCCTGGAAGATCGCTTTCCATTGGGAGCCATCTTTCTAAAAACAATCAAAGCTTTTCTCGCACAAGGGTGAGCCTTGAAGATTTGATAAAACAAAAAAAAAATATTTCTAAAACAACACTGAAAGGGTTTGGAAACTTAGGGATGGGGGGGAGGGGGTAGGCTTGCGGATGAGAATCATTTAGCCTTCCATGGTGATTCTCCTAGTGAGGGGAATGAACTAGTCCTTCATTCTAGTTTTGGAATGCCAAGTTTACTTTGCAGGCCAATCAAGGAAGAAAGGATGGATCTTGACTACCTATGTAATAGGGAGTTGGTTCAAGAGAGCTATGATCAAGATGATGAGAATGTCATTAACTTTGGGGTTCAAGCCAAAGGAGATGATGACCTCATGGAAATAAGTGCTGAAGAGTATCAAGAGAGTTTGACTTTATGTGCTCCATGAAGATCATTGATCAAGCTAATGAGAAGAGTCATTTAGGTTCTTGAATGGACGGCCTATTTGATCAAAGTGTTCAAGATTGAGTCCATTGCTACACAATTGGATAGGTTGCAAACTATCTTAATTGTTTCAAGTGGTTTTCCAATCTTTTGGAGTCAATAAAGAGAATTCTACAAGTTTTGGAGTAAATTTGAGTTTTCTACAGCTTAAGGGGCGCAAGACCAATATTCCACTTTTGGAAGAGCGTTCAAGAATTTTACTTCAACAATTTGGGAGCTGATTTTCGAGATTTAGTTGTTGTTTAAGTCTAGGAGTTATTTTCGAATTTTATCTAGTTAGATAAGCCATGTGGGCTGAATAAAGCTAGAGTGTTTTGATTAGGAGTCTTAGATTCCTTCTAGATATTATCCTACTTGAGGATAAGTCATTTAGATAAGGTCTCCTAGATTTTAGATACAGTCAAAAAGATCAAATACTCTTCTACTTTTACTCCTTGTGAGATAAGATTAGAGAGTCCTAATTGATCTTCTTCTTTACGTGCTGGCCGAAATTCTAAGCCTATAAATAGGGGGCTTGGCCGAAATTTTAAAGCACCCTTGAGTGGTCATTTTTGTTGTCTCTTTTGAGCGTTTTTCCTATGAGGAATTTTTGTTAAATGGAGTGTCCATTTTTCGTGTCAAGTATGATTTAACCAAGAGGGTTTTCATCTTGTCTTGGATCTTTTTGATCTTGCAGAAACCGTTCTTTTTCAAGTATGCTTCTTGATAGAACTGTTTTA